CGTCGTCGCCATTGCCGCCGCCGTCTTCAGCCAGCCACACAGGGTGCCCCCCACCCCTCTAAGGGTGGGTACCCATTTACCTACTTGCAATTAAGTTGCTTTCGAGACCGCTGGGTAGGCGGGAGCTGGGGCTAAGGTCGAGAGCTCACCTCGACCACGGTGGTACTCGAACAGCCGTAGTGGCTGCTCGGTGATGTTATAGTGCAGGCATTTAACTGCCTGCGCCACCGTCCCCAGTTAAATTACCTGCCTGCCATTTTTCTACTTTTCACCTTTACACAGAGAGTACTCCCTCTTTCTGTGTTAGACCTCTGAGGATGCCAGTCACAGCTACTGGCGAAACGTCAGGTCCTACATTGCCAAGACCACAGGCCATACCGCCCGGAAAATCTACAACAGCTAACAAAGGTTAGTTTGTGAAACCAGGATTCACCTTATAGATCAGGCCTGTCTCAATAAAGGCTGGTTTCATTGCCTTCACGCGGGAGGGCCGCCTTCATACATCACGTGGAGCCACAGACCTTCATCTGGGAGACCCTAACTGGACAGAGTTACTGGAGCACCCCGCCCTCAGACCATTGCAATAACCGGCTCCAGTTCAATTCAACCACAATTTCACATGACGCACGTTGAGAGTCTGTGTGCTGCAGTGGCCGGAGTGTCGAGTGCGGATCTGGGGCACCCAGGTTTGAACCCCCACTCTGCCATGGAAGCCCACTGGGTGACCTTGGGCCAGTCACATCCCTACTTCACAGGGTCGCTGTCAGGATAAAATAGAGAAAAGGAGAAGATGCAAGCCAACCGGGGATCCCCCGTTGAGGAGAGAGATGGGACAGAAGAAGAAGAAGAAGAGATTGGATCTATACCCCATGGCCCTTCACTACCCGAAGGAGTCTCAGAGGGGCTTACAATCTCCTTTCCCTTCCCCTCCCCACAACAGACAGACACCCTGTGAGGTAGGTGGGGCTGAGGGAGCTCTTGACAGAAACGGCTCTTTTTTCAAGAACAGCTCTTGTCAGAACTACGGCTTGGCCAAGGTCATCCAGTCAGGTGCGAGTGGAGGAGGGGGGGAAACAAGCCCGGTTCTCCCAGATTAGAGTCTGCCTGCACTTAACCACGACACCAAACTGGCTATCTATAGAAAATGTGTTGATCCCACGATGACCAGTCTCAGGCATGCCTGTTCCTATGAACTGCTGTTCTAACAGACAGATTCTACGGTGAGACCCCAGAGTGTCGATATGGAGAGGGACCACTTGATTTTGATCTTTCAAACAACTGCAAATGTGCAGCCGCAGGGAAGAAAGCATGCCAGGAGGGCAGATGGAAATGGTGCAGTCACCCGCGCCCCCTCACTGCCGCTTCCTCTTTTCTCTCGACATTCCAAGAGGGCCCGGATTCCGGCCTTAGCCCAGAGGGCTGCCGCCCCAACCAGGGTGCCTCCCTCCACCAACGGAGAGTTGCAGCTGTGAAAATAAAATCTGCTTTTGGGACAATATAGGCATAACATCACGTTGCTGTTTATAGCTCTCGCTCTGGCATCCATGTGGCGCGCACAGAGTTTCACAGACGGTTATTTGGCACAAACAAGAAATAGCTGAATGCCATTTTTAGATAGGAAAGATTGCATTCCCAGTTTTGGACGCTGCGCTAATCAGGCGACTTCTTCCGAAACAATCACTGAATGGGCTGCAACTTTGGACAGAAATGGTTGGGTTTTCCCAGTATGCCACTAATAGTATGCGGCATCTCTTGAAGAGCTGCACTAATGTAAAAACAACCAGTTATGGCCCAAAGTTTTTATTTAGTACAGGGAGAATTCCCATGCTCTGAAAAATAGTGATAGCGCTGACATTAGAATGAGGAAAGAGACGGCAAATAGATCAGCGTATTCCTATGCAGCTAAATAGCAAGGCTATGATACAGTCTGATTGGGAGAACTATGCACAGTTCGGGTCACATGGCCTTATTAAAAGATATTTTTGAGATTTAAAAAACATGCAGGACAGGGGCAAGAAAAAATTCACACACGTTTTGAGATTTCCTCTACAAGCTAGATAATTGGGGGGCTTTTCAATTTAGAAAAAGGATGTCTAAATGGGAACATAACAGACAAACTCACAAAAACATTACGGATGCCGTGGAGAACGAGAACTTTCCCTCCCTCCTCCAGAACACTACGGATTGGAGGTCGTCACCCTACTCAATTGACTGGAACTCAGGACGGGGGAGGAGGGGGGGCCTTCTCTGTACTGCACAGAAATAGTTTTTAGATTAGGTTACATTAAAAGACAGATACGGTGATTAATAAGGAAACAGGTCTACAACCTACGGTAGACGAATCGAACATCATTCTCCTCTCCCCATTTTACCCTCACAACAGCCTTGCAAAGCAGGTCAGGATGGGACTGCGTGACCGGCCCAACGTCACCCCCCCAGCCGGCTTCCATGGCACGAGTAGGGATTCGAACACGGGCCTCCCAGACTCTAGCCCGACACTGCAACCACTAGGCCGCTATGTCGGCTCTCACTTAGCACTGACTGATTGGTTGCTGGGTTTGAAACCTCATTGCTGGTTTTGTACTTTAGTGTTTTAATTTGTTCACGGTTGGTACATTTTGTTTTATCAAGCTCTCATTATTGGGGGGGGGGCTTGTGAGACGTGGGGGGGAAGCTCATCCCCCCCCCATTGCTGAGTTCTGCAGGGCTCCAGGGTCCCCCCCCCCCACCTCTGAGGCCAGCCTCAGTGGCTCCTGGCATATGCCGACGCAGCCGGGCCCAGAGCCGCTCCCCAGGCCTCCTGCCACTACTGCAGAATCATGGTAACTCCGTTGTCTGGGCGCGTGCAGACAACAGGGTTTTTTCCATGGGGGGTATTTAAACCCCTCAACATATTTTTTTAAGATCTCAGATTTTTTTGGGTTCCCCCAAGTTTGCACAAACTGTTTAGTGTTGTTGTGCCCCCAATCTGTGGATTTAGATATCTGCAGAGGGGGGCCATACTCGGCAAGGGGGGGGGATATGTGTTTGGGGAGTGGTGCACGCAAAAGAGATCTTGGGGGTAGGGGTGGACTGCAAACTAAATACGGGCAGTCAGTGTGATGCGGTGGGGAAAAAAGGCAAATCCAGTCTTCGGTTGTATTAAAAGGGCCACAGCATCGAAATCGCAGGAGGTCATCATAGCCCCTCTGTATGCTGCCTTGTTTCAGGCCGCACCAGGAGTCCTCCTGTGTGCAGTTCTGGAGGCCTCACTTCAAAAAGGACGTGGGCAAAACTGGGAGAGTGCAGAGGAGAGCGACGAGGGTGATCGGGGGGGGGCCTGGAGACCAAGAGGCCCTGTGAGAAAAGGCTGAGGGGGGACCTGGGAATGTTCAGTCTGGCGAAGAGGAGGT